AGAAACCGTTAAAACAAACAAAAGAAAACATACAAAAAACTTTTAATTTCCATGTATAGATGAAAATGGGGTTCAGTTTGGTATATATATAGCTCTAATTTAATTTTTCCCATATTTCAGTGCTACTTTAAGATGATCTTATCTTTCCTTTTTGTATTTTCTGTCATAAATTTTTAGTCATTCAATAAAATTTTAGATACTACAGTAATTTCTGGCTTTTTTATTCTGTTGCTCTAAGCTTCCCATTCTTCCCTTTATAACCTTAAGCCTCCTCCTGGCTGCCCTTGTGTTGCACTGATATGATAAAATGACACTGTTTCATAGATATATCTTTATGATAGGTTTCAACACCTGAATGATCCGTGGCTACTCATTACTTTTATTTTTCAGATTATCCTTTGTTCTTATCTTGTTCTAATACTTCCAGATAAATTTTAGAATAATTTTGTTGAGTTCAAGAAAAATCCTTGTGGGATTCAGTTGAATTCTTAATTCCATACATTAATTTGAAGAATTATATTTTTAGTCTCCTGTCATCTGTGACCCTCTTCCTATTTTGTCAAGACCTTTTGTTCTACAGATTTTAGTTTTTTTTTTTTTTTTTAAATTATTTTTAAAAAGTGGCAAAGTTTCCCTGTGTTGCCCAGGCTGGTCTCGAACTCCTGGTCTCAAGCAATCCACCTACCTTGGCCTTTCAAAGGCGTGAGCCACTGTGCCTGGCCTGGATCATTTTTGAAATTATATTTTAACATATAAGAAGGCCTGTGATATTTTAATTCACTTGCACAATCATGTATTGAGTGCTTGAATGCGAGGGTACTAGAATGCGTGTCACAGAGCCTGCCCTGAAGAAGCTCATGAGGACACAGGTCCTTAGCTAGGAGGATGCTGTGGTGGGAATTCTCAGAGAACTCTGGGAGCTCCAGAAATGGCCTTGGGCCAGTGTGGGAGTTCAGGGATGTCTCCCAGAAGAGATGATGCCTGAGCAGTGTCTTGAAGGCTGACAAGGATAGCAGTGCCAAGGATGGCAAGGATGGCAGTTATTGTCCACAATACTGAACTCTTCTACAGAAACAGAATTAATGCTTTTCAAAGAATCTCAGCGGACATAGCTCATTGCCGCCTATGGATCTATGTGGCGGAATGATTTTCATTGTTGTTTCCTCCTTTCTCTCTCTCTCTTTTTTGATTTTGGAGACAGAGTCTCGCTCTGTCACTTAGGCTGGAGTGCAGTGGCGCAATCTTGGCTCACTGCAACCTCTGCCTCCCAGGTCAAGTAATTCTCATGGCTCAGCCTACTGAGTAGCTGGGACTACAGGCGCATAGCACCACACCTGGCTAATTTTTGTATTTTTAGTAGAGACAGGGTTTTGCTATGTTGGCCAGGCTGGTCTCGAACTCCTGAGCTCAGGCCACCCACCCGCCTCAGCTTCCCGTAATGCTGGGATTACAAGCATGAGCCACCACGCCTGGCCTATTTCTTCCTTTCTAATATTTTCCATCTTATATCTCTCATGCCTTATTGCCAGAATTTATAAAACAATGTTAAGAAATAAATATTTTATTTTATTTCTATGTAAAGGTAACTCTTTAATATATCTCCATTAAGGATTATACTATTTGTACAATAATATATAATATCTGCTCATGAAATTAATATAGCTCCATTAAAGATTATAGTATTTGTATCATAATATATAATATTTGCTCATGAAGTTTCTCATTTGCAATTCAAACCAACTGTGTGAGGCAGGCGTTATTATCCCCATTATATAGATGAGGGCAGAGAAGGTCTGTGAGGTCAAGGGTGTCCTAAGTCCCTCGAATGGTGGGTGAGCAGTGTCAGAACCAGACATTGCACCTGAGTCTTTTGACTAAAATCTTCGGCTGCTTCCCCTGTGCTTCCTCGGTCATTGGGTGTTGGCTTCTGCCAGAGCTGGCTGTGCTTGTTAAGGACGCTTGTTGGCAATCTCCTCACTGGAAGTGTTTATCCACAGAACAAGTGGTGCCTTCAGCACTGCCAAACAATGCTCCTGCCCAGGCCCGTGTGTTGGAGGCTCTTTTTGAGGAAGAGATTAAGTTCAAGATGCTTAGACTTCAGGGTAAGCCCTGAGCAATACTCTTCCCTCTGAGGCTTCTCCTGCGTCCTTTCCATTCTTCCCATTCTTCCATTTATAACCGTAAGCCTCCTCTTGGCTGCCCTTGTGTTTTGGACTTTGCTGTGAGCAGACACAGATGAGGGGAAGGAGCCGGGCTGTGGAGTCATGGAGACCTGGGTTTCCGCACCAGCCCCACCACTCTCCAGCCACATGATTCAGGCACCTCACTTGGTGGAGCAGTCTCCACTTCCCCTCCGGTAAAGAGGATAATGGTGTGTATCTCAGTGGGGTTTTGTGGAGGAATAAATGAGGAAGCCGTGTACCCACATGGTGCCTAATACACAGTGGGGTACTTTCCTGTTGCCTTTTATGATTGGCCTTGATAATTTATTCATTTACTATATATATTGAGTGCTTATGCTGCACTAGACACTGCAGTAGGCTCTGGGTAAATAAAACAGGTGTGGCCTCTGACTGTGGAATTTGTAGCACAGTGGAAAGAGCCAGAAATCAAGTGAAGAAATACAATGCCAAGTGCAGTGAAGGAATAGGAAAGGATGCTGTAGGCGGGCTAATAGGGCAGACTTCCTTTATGCTGGTTGTTAGAAAAGGCCCTTCGGAGGAAGGAAGAAGCAAGCTGATATCTGAGAGATGAGAAAGAGGAAAAAGAGCAACATGATCCAGATTGGGTTATGAAAAATTATATAGGCCAGGCACAGTGGCTCATGCCTGTAATCCCAGCACTTTGAGAGGCCAAGGCAGTTGGATCACTTGAGCTCAGGAGTACAAGATCAGTCTGGGCAACGTGGTGAAACCTCATCTCTACAAAAAATACAAAAATTAGCCGAGTATGGTGGCACACACCTATAGTCCTAGCTACTTGGGAGACGGAGGTGGGAGGATCGTTTGAGTCTGGGAGGTTGAGGCTGCAGGGAGTCATGATCATGCCACTGCACTCCAGCTTGGGTGATAGAATGAGATCCTGTCTCAAAAAGAAAAAAAAAATCAGGCTGCTTATAGAGAGTGGAAGGGAAATAGGGAAGCAAGAGAGGATGTGGAAAGTCCATTCAGGAGGCTGTTACGGGAATCTAGCAGGAAGTCCTGGCAGCTCGGATGAGGTAATGGTGGTAGAGTGGGTAGTCACAGACATAGCTGAGAAATAATTAGGAGGGACAAACTTTGTAAAGTATAACTTTGGTTACACTTTAGTTCCTTCTGTTAAATTTAACCAAATTAAATATAATAGTTTAAATTTAAAACTAGCATATATAACATGATCTCATTTTTTTGTAAAATGATTTTTATCTTTCTCTGCTTGATACATGCGTCCACAAAGATATCTGGATTGTCGTTCAATAAATGTTAACTGTGGTTATTTTTGTATGATGGAATTGCGAGGTTATTTTTTTATTTTCTTTTTTGTGCTGTACTGAATTTTTTGCTTTAAAATAATCATGGCATGTCAAAATTAAAACTCTGCTGAAAAGCAAATGAAGGATGATTTTTAAAAGTTTCTGCTGGACCTCCGAGTGCAGCAGTTGGATATGTGAGTCTGAAATTCACAGAGAAAGTCTTGACTAGAGTTATAAATTTGGGCGTTGGCAACATACTGATGATTTTGAAGCTCATAGGGATGGATGCAGTCATCTTGAGAGACCTAAGAGGCACCATGTGCATCTCTGGCACTTGGTGGATGAGTGGAGGAGGAGCCTGTAGTGGGTGGAAATGAGGTTCCCAGAGAGGAGGAACCCCTGGGGAGTTGGGGGAGCAGAGCTGAGGGCTGTCAGGACAGAGCTGGGCAGTTTCTATAAGGTGCTGGGGTCTGGTTCACATGCAAGGGTTTCATTCCTCAATGTCTTGTTTATCATATACCTTCTACTTTTCTTTTCCCCAAAGCTTGCGGGTTAGGGAACCAGTAATTACTTCAACTCTGTTTGGAGACTAAGGTTTCAAGACCTCTAGGATATTTGGGGTTTGGCAAACAACTGTGTCTTTTGAAGAGCTGCTGACTTTCAGCAAATGTGGACAGCATGTTTGGAGAAGACTCATGGTTTTTACATGAGTCACAAGTAGCCTTCCCTCTGAGAAGGCTTCCCTCATCTATATAATGGGCATAATAACGCCAACTTGTGAGTTGAAAGAGAGTAGCAGCTACATGTTTACGCTTCAGTATCTCCAACGCAACTTGCAAATCTTTCTCCTGATTAGTTGGCAATCTTTCTTGCAGGGCTAAAAAAATCAAACCTTAAAAAAAAACCCCATTATCTGTTGACAAGATAAGAAGCTAAGTTTGGGGAGAGAGGGTGTTTTGCTCAGCTCTCCCCTTAAGAATAGAGGATGCTACACAGTCCAGCCTCACCAGGCTGCAAAGCTGCAGTGTCCCTCGGCTCTGGAGCCTGGCGAGTCTGCCTTTTTCTGATTGATTCCAGGGCTAATGCGGATCGCTCATCAGCTCATCTTGGAACTCATCAAGCTCATGCAGGGCTGCAGCTGCAGTCTGCCTGCTAGTGACCTTGGCCATTGGTGAATCACAACTATTTCTACCCTTTGCTAGGAACTGCTTCTGTGTTGCTCAGCCTTCCTGCCAGTATCCTGGCATTCAGCAGGGCCTCTCCATCTCTAGTGCTTCTCCCGGCACCACCTGCTCATCAGCACCCCCCACTCCTTAGCTCTCAGTACCAGGAGGGCCCTGTGTGCCCCTGGGTCGCTTGGTGGCTTCCTGTCTAGGAGAACCATTCTCTCTGCTTTTCCAGTGCTTGCACTTCTACACCTGTGCCTCTGCACTGATAATTGCGTGAGGAAGTTGGTTTTTTAAGTTGTGCAGTACATTTAGAGATAGGGTTTGAAGGAAGTAGGCTTGGATGTGCATCTGATTAGTTTTCCAATTTTCTCCCCTTCTAGGTAATACTTACTAATATTCAAAACAGAAGCCCTAAGCCTGGCCCTGCTCCCCACGATCAAGAACTAGGTTTTTTCCTAGAAACAGGACTTCAGAGAGCCCATGTCCTCTATTTCAAAAATGGGTAAGCCTTCTTCATTTTTTAATCCACTTCCTAGAGAAGGAAAGTAGAAAGTTTGACAATGCTCTCTCCAGTTTAATTATTATAACAAAGCACTTTAAATATGGACTACCACTGGAGCATTTGTTTTTGTTTTTGTTTTTTTTTTAAGAATGAACATTGGCTGTTTTTGTCTCTTCTCTACCTGACTCTCTTGCTTTCCCATGAGATGTGAAGGTGGGAGAAGGGAGGGAGGGAACTCCAGTCACAAGGACACAGCCGCAGAACCAGTGGGGTGGGCCTGATGGGAGCCACGCCTTCCCATGCCTGCCCTCCATGAATGGCTCTGCACAGCCTTCCCCATTTTGTTAAGGAAAAAGTTAATGAATTGGAAATCCTGGCACACAGGAGCATCACCCTTTCACTGGCTGATCGTTCAGGGAATTGGATTTGCCAAATCTCAGCCAGTTTTCATGACAGTGAGTATGGCTGTCATGCCGCATCAGAACACTTCCAACTTGAGTTGCCTTTGAAAAGGCTTTGGGAAAGGTTGAAGATCGTGAATGGGAGGGAACAGCTCTCGAATGCATTTGATGTTTGTTTTCCTTTTTGTGTTGCTCTTGTGAGAAATGTACTGATTCTGTTCCAAATCTCTTCAGTTGTCCCTTGTTTTGACATTGTGCTGCAGGATAGATGTGCATGAAGACCAACAGTAGGTATCTGGTTCCTCTGTGGCACTCCCCTAGGCTTTGCATGGAAGGCCCCTGGAGGCCCATTCCCCTCCTCTAGAGTAGTCCAGTAGTGCTTTGAATGGCAGAGGGGACACAAGCCCCAGCCTCTGGAAAAATGAACAATGGAGTTTCTCCCTCTTCATTTTTAAGAGCTTCAAACCTTGGGGTGTAGCTCATGAAATTGGGATTTTATATGCCTCGTGGCCCAGAGCCACATGCATTCATTTCCCATAAGTTGAAAATAAATGCCTATTTTCCAAGTCTTATTAAACTGCTTGTGAGAGAAGGTCTGCTTTGGTCCAGAGGCCTCTGGCTGAGCTCTGCATGGCCCACAAAAGGCCGTGACATACCCCCCAAGGTTTGCAGCAGCTCGATGGCCTTGGCACAAAGATGCTATTGCATTGGATCTCATCTGCCACAGATTGAGATCGTTTGAGTGATGGCGCACGTCCCCTAAGCTAAGGTGAAGTTGTTTTCTTTGCTGTTACAAATAGAGGGAGAAGGGAGGGAACACAGAATATTTTTTCTAGTAAAGTTTCTTTTTCCTCTTCACAATAAATGGTGGTCATCACAAAGGAGCTCCCAGCCCTTGCCCTCCTCCTCTCTAACCTGTGTCTGTATGTGTGAATATGGAAGTCCAGACCTGGGAATTAATCCCCCTGGGGATCCAGGGGTGCCATACCAATATGTTCAGTTGAAAATGCTTTGTGTGAGATTAGTAAGAGTGGGTTAGATAATTTATTTTCATCTTTGAAGCCTGTTCCCTGGGGAGAAAGGAAGACTACTGGGCCCTGGCCTCCTCCCCGAGACACTGGCTGCCCACTGGAATCCAACTAAAAAATAACGAGAGGTTTGCACTAGTGATGAAGTACATGTCATGGATTGCCTACGGACTCGTTTCTTCTCATTTTATTGTACTTGAGCCAAGTTGAAGGAAATGCCTATTGATACAGCCTTAAGGAAGCGTTTAGCTTTGAAGCTTTTTCTCTTTTCTTATTGTCTTGCTCTTCTCTCTGGGAGCTAAAGACCAGTGATGGGATTGGGCCGTGTACTCTCACTCTTTTTTTTTTTTTTTTTTGAGACGGGGTCTTGCTATGTTGCCCAGGCTGGTCTTAAACTCCTGAGCTCAAGGGATCTGCCTGCCTCAGCTTCCCAAAGTGCTAGGATTACAGGCGTGAGCCACCACGCCCAGCTCTGGGTCAGGTACTCTCAAAGGTCCCTGCTAGCTGCAGTCCCTAGGCTGGGACAGTGCAACGGTAGTGAGGAATTACTTTTAGGAGGTAGAGGTGAGGGCCAGTTTGGAGGCCACAGAACATGGACAGAGGAGAAAAGCCATTGGGACCATCAGGTGATTTTGAACATGCCAAGTGCTGTCAGGTCTGCTTGATCCATACCAGTAGGCTACTCAGGGCCTGAGGGCCACAGCCAGGCTCATTTGTCGGTGGACGCCTATGGCAAGTGGGGACAGAATGGAGGTAACTGCTGTCCCTGAGCACCGGCAGCTTCCCACACTTCTTTCTGATGGACTTGCTCCCATTGTCTCACTCCTTTTGCTTTTCTTCTATGTATCTAGAAGGATATAATAGACAGGTTGGCTGATTTTCAGTAGTAGGAAAACACAGTATAGAAGAGTTTGGAAATAAGAGATGGAATTGATGAAACATAATGTTTTTCTTTAGAAACATACTTAAACGAATACTTAGCTTTTTATTTGTGGTCCCTGAGGACTCACTGAATTATGGTATTGAATCTGGTTCTTTTAGAACTCCCCTGTCTTTTCCAGAAGTCACTGCTGAGCTGGTGGACTTGGGCATCTCTTTCAGAAAACCTGACGTCAGGAGCAGTTCTTGGGCCCCTGCTGATGCCTTAGACTCCAGTGCTGCTTTTAAGTTTGGCTTGTGCTTGCCCTTCATGGTCATTGGTCCTCACAGCATTGCCACTCTGCCTGTGCAGTGGGCAGCATGGGCAGTGCCCCTATTCTTTAGAAAAATCTAGACTCACACGGACTGTGCCTTGCTGCAGGTCACACGGTTCCTTGGGCTCTAGTCCTTTTACCACCATGCCACTGCGTGGGAAGTGCAGCTGCTCGGTGTGGAGGGAATTGATGGGAGGGATTGACTGTCCATCGCCCTGCCTCTGTGAGGCAGCACTCGACCCCCAGGTCGGGACATCGCCCACAGACAGTTTCCAGCCTCTGTTGGTTTGGTGATTTCTCCTGAGGCTTTCCCTCCTGTCTCACCTATAGCACGTCACAAAGCATCCCTTTCTCCTCCCCTTCCTCCCCCTGGCCTTCCTTTCTGGCTGCTTGTCTTCCCTCTCCCACCCTTCTTTTTCCTCTTCTTCCCATCTTTTCCTTCCCTTCCTTCTCCTAGTTCCTCTCTTCTTCAGCTCCCTCTTTCCTTATGAGGCAGGAGAGAACAGCTAGTTGTCATCAGGATGGTAACTTCCTCTGCCTCCCAGTCCCAAGTCTCTGGGTGTGGTCCGACTTGGAATGTACCCAGATCCATTTCACATCTATTTCTCTTATCCCTCTGGGTGGCAGCAACAAGCCTGTTAAGGCTGACAAAACATCTTGTTGAGGCTCCGCCGAGGGTGAAAGCAGAGCACTACCCTCAGAGGGCCAGGGTTGCTGTCTCCGAGTTGCCTCGCCACGGCAAGCGGCTTGTGCAAGGGCAGCTCGGGCACTGGGTTTGGAACCAGCCGTCTCTTCCTCTCTGGGTCTCAGGTTCTTTATCTGTGTAATAGGCTGAATATCACTCACCTCTTAGAGCAGTAGTGAGGAGCAAATAAGAATATGCCATGGAAGCACCTCGTGGGGTGTCAGGCAAATAGCAGGAGGCACATTGTGACTTTCAGTGGTAATGATGCCTGGCTGACTTACCAGCTAAAAGTGGGACCAGATTAAGGTCACATCCTGGTTGAAGTGGGAGTTTGTGGAGAAGTCGATGACTGAGCCTCATGGAGGCAGGGCATTTCTTTACAGTGGCTGCAGGTTTAAGGGAATACTACTCAAGATGAGTAACCATAAACTTGGATAACATTTTACTCACTTTCAGAGAAAGTAGGCGGGACTGACTGGTCTGACCACAGTAGCACTGTGTATTCATTTGTCAGCCCAGCTAGCAGTAGAGAAACGGCCTCACCCTTGGATTACCCTCGGCCTTCTGTGAAGATAGTTGTTACTTCCTACTTCAGTCATTGCTGCCAGAGAAGCTTGATTTGGGGAGGCCAATTAATTTTGGGTTTTTAACGATGAGTTCGTGTTCTTTGTAGGGACATGGATGAACCTGGAGAACATCATTCTCAGCAAACCGACACAAGAACAGAAAATGAAATACCGCATATTCTCACTCATAGGCGGGTGTTGAACAATGAGTACACATGGACACAGGGAGGGGAGTACTACACACTGGGGTCAGTTGGGGGGAATAGGGAGGGACAGCGGTGGGTGGGGAGTTGAGGAGAGATAGCATGGGGAGAAATGCCAGATATAGGTGAAGGGGAGGAAGGCAGCAAATCACACTGCTACGTGTGTACCTATGCAACTATCTTGCATGTTCTTCATATGTACCCCAAAACCTAAAATGCAATAAAAAAAATTTTGGGTTTTTAACTCTTTATAGAGTCAAGGTCTTATTCTGTGGCCCAGGCTGAAATACAGTGGTATGATCCTAGCTCACTGCAGCCTCGAAGTCCTGGGCTCAAGCGATCCTCCCGCCTTGGCCTCCCAAAGTGCTAGGATTATAGGCATGTGCCACCACGCCCAGCTGGGATGCCAAGTAGTAACTGTGGGTTGCTTTAGGAATATTTACCCTTTTTTTGTAAACAAAGGGTAGCAAAGCACATTTAAAGTAACCTTGCTTCTTGTTAGCTGTGTCAGGTGTCCTGGGTAAGCAAAACGGGTTGTAGTGTGTTTTCCCTGACTTTGAATTGATTTTAATTCAGGTGGGGTGGATATAAATTGATGCAAAAGGCAAATGACTGTGCCTATGGGGCAGTACCATTTCCAAGGTTACATCACTGAGTGCTGCCTGGGAGGCCTTGACTCAGAGAAAGCAGGAAGTCAGGCAGGGATGCTTCAGACCTCGGGCTCCCCGGAGGTGCTTGCATCAAGCCATGGAGTAAAGTGGTATGGAAGGGCTTTTGGATTTCTGTTTTTGTAATCAAACAAATAGACCACTAATCACACTATGCATCCACTTTAAAAGGCTTTCAATCTTCCTGCATAATCTCTTTGCAATTGTTTAGCCCTGCTCAGTGTAACCTAGACTTAGAAGGCAGGAAAAGGAGTCCAACAGGCCCTTCTGGGTCCTGTGGGCTGCTGAGGAGGCGTGCTTCCTGGGCTTATGTCTCAGAGACAGCAGCGGCGGCAGCAGACAGGCTCCCATATCCCGTGTGATTGTGGAGGTGATCATGGCAAGGGTGCCCTCTAGGAGGTAGGCATGCTTTGCTGGATGTACTTGTCTCTCCGGGTGCTTAAGCAACTTCATTGCCTTTGTATTCTGGCCTTCTAGAGGTCATCTTCCTCTTGTAGGGGTAAAAGTGTTCACATTTAAAACTGTACTTTTGACAGTACAAGTCCACTGCAGTGAACGTGAGAGAATTCACACGTGTTTCCTGTAAGCATTTAATAACCACCACTTTTTTGTACACAACACTCTTCAACAGTTACAGAGATGAAAAGGAAATGGGCCTTGTCATCTGGGAGATGGTAGAGAAAAGAAAAAAAGGTGAAGACATAAACATTAGTAACTTTAAAGGTTATGATGTGGTTCTATAAAAGAATGAACAATGAAAGAACACCTGATCACTTTAAATGAGCTGAAGCTTCCAGGCCCATTTATTCCTGTATTCGAGTAGGGCCATTTGTTCATTCAGTTAACGAGGATTCATTGTGTACCATCTGTGTCAGGGCTGTGTTGGGCCATTCTCTCACTACTGTAAATAAATACCTGAGACTGGGTATTTTATAAAGAAAAGA